TAAGAACTCCCTAAACATCCTTCATTCTACAACTGAAATAGACAAGAAGAGCAGGATTTATTGGTACCAAAACATTTCGCGACGGCTCATCAGCTTCGTCCTGTCGCTTCATAAGAGAGATAACGAGTGAGAAGAATACAACAGATTTAAATTCATGCGGAAAATCAATGCAGAAACAACAAGGTCAGGGTTTTGGGTAAAGCTGGCTAGTCGATAAAGTTAGTAACTCAAACACCGTAGGGCAAGAAAGTGAAAAAGGGGAACGTTAAAGAGTACTTGTTCGGGCACGAACAACTCGGACATTGCGTTACCTGGTAGCCTCTAGCTCCATGAATTCCCCTTTCTCCTTTCATTTTTTTGCTCTTTAACGTTCCCCTTTTTCACTTTCTTGCCCTACGGTGTTTGAGTTACTAACTTTATCGATTAGCCAGCTTTACCCAAAACCCTGACCTTGTTGTTTCTGCATTGATTTTCTGCATGAATTCAAATCTGTTGTATTCTTCTCACTCGTTATCTCTTTATGAAGCGACAGGACGCAGCTGATGAGCCGTCGCGACATTTTTTGGTACCAATAAATCCTGCCCTTCCTGCCTACTTCAGCTTCGTACCGGGGACAAAATGCTTCACATACTACTACTCTAACAAGGACGACCAAGCGAACTGCAGTTAAATCCTCGCGATCAGAAAACCGTCATGTGCTTCAGTTTTTGAAAAGCCTTATTGTAAAGATGAAGATATTTGTGAGCCATCAGTCTGACAAAATTAAGAAAACACGCATGCTAAAACATAATGTGCGCTTGTTACTCGAGTAATCGCGGCGTGTTTAAACTATCATACATATTCACACTGTGCGAAAATAAGCGATTCGTGCATCCCCAAAGAATGTCTTCGCTGGTATTCTGTTTGTGACCCTGTGCATTAAGACGGGTCGTTCCTGGTCAACGTAAGCTGTAACCATAGATGTGGCGGCACATCTAATGCGGGTTTACGTCGCGCCTGCCATTTGCGTCCTCTTCCGCCCCCTGTTTTCTTGACACTGTATTGACGCCGGCCTCATATGGATGAGGAAGGGGGAGTGCGATACATTCAACGCAAGTAAACTATCACTATGACCTAAGTCACGCGCAGGTCAGCGTCCCTGCTCTCACCCTGCAGTGGGGCACAGGGTGGACAATGCCGTCAACAACGGTCGAACTGTCGATGAAGGAGTCGTTCTGATATTCAACAATTTGGCTCGACATCTCTCCTGATCATATGTTGTGCCCACTGTTTCATCTACTGCACACTGATTTTTTCTGGGGTGATTTTTCGTCCACATGCCTGCTATGCGCACATGAGACTAGATCTGGATCAGATCTTTTTGTAAAAATAGCCAGTAACTAAGACGTTTTCAGTTCAGTTCAGTTCAGTTTATTGAGGGAAATAGGCGTAAGCCTTTAAGCACACTATTTGCAACGTAAAAAATGTGTGGTGTACAGATAGATGTTCTGGGCTGAAATAGTTTGAACACGCCCATAATGGTGGGACAAAATGAGAAGGAGTTACAGGGGATGAGCTCGACTTCTCATCGCCTCTGGTCATTTCGGAACATAAATATGTCCAGATTCTTCTTAAAACTTTGTATAGATGGTGCCATCACAACATCTGCGGGAAGCTCATTCCATGGTTTGACCACCCGAACCGAGAAGGAGAACTTCCGCACATCCAGCCGTGCCTGCTGAGTGCGCAGTTTTAACGGGTGACCTCGGAGGTTTCAGCGTACTATGCAGACAATAACCATTAAGGAGTCGATACCGGGAGTAATTGGATGGTCATGTGACACCGATCGTGATTTCTCAAGTATACGCGTTGGCCAATATACTGAAATTGCTTAAATTTCTCGGGACGTTGGACTGTGCGACTTCGTCATGCAAAGGAGTTGAAATTAATCCACCAGCGTATGTTCTAAGGCTAAAATATCGGCAAGATTTCTATAATTCGTTTAGTGCGGCGACTGCTGAAGGAAAATACCACTAAGTGTCCATCCTCCTAGATGATTCGCATTTTACTGTGCCAAGTGCTTTACTAAGGCAAGAACTACTAATTTAGAAGAACCAACCAACTAATGGGTACCTTCGTCAGATCAGAGAAGTGACGTTCTCGCCCATCTACCTTGTTATGTCACATTCGGGAATCTGACGCCACCTTCCCAGCTGTCATATGTCTACTCGTTGGTGACACTAAGTTTCCTCTTTTTCAACAAAGCTAGCAGGTCATAAATGATCCTTCCACTACAGCTGACCATACGGGAGGGAAGGTGAGAAAATTCTCCTGCACGCTGTCCAGGAAAGAACAAAAGTTGACATAGGCAGATTTATATCTAGTCATCAAACGAACTTTCATTTCTACACCGTTGAAAATAGCTTTTGACGCCTCCATTCGGAGGTTCTGGCCGAATTTAAATCATCCTATGATCCATTGATGGCCGACCCCATGTGATCCGAGGCGCATTTAAAGCCCCTCAGCTACCACTTACAGAAGGTAACGTAGTTTATAAAACCCGCCAAAACTAACGAAATATTTCTAAGCGACCGGAAACAGTCCACATGCCTCGACGCCGAGGCAAACTAGGACATAAAGGAAGCACTCCAGGTTATATTACATATTTTAAAAAGAAAAGTTTTCTTTAGATGCGGAAACTCCGATGGCGAGTACCTAGAAGTATACAGAGACTGTCCATGGAAGTAACAGAAAAACTAAAACTGCATAAGCATACTAATGCACAAAAATGATCTTCATTTACAAATGCAGAAAACGTGATGTTTTTTTAATTTCCTTGGATATTTGTTCAAAGTTTTTTGACGGCATGAAGCTCGTTGTTGCCAAAAGACGGAGCATTGTCTGTATGCACGGCCATCCCTGGAAGTAGCCTGAAGTAATACTTATATCCTGGGTAATATCGTCGTCCATCTTCCAAATGTCAGACTACAAATCCCGCCTTACTAAATGCCAGAAGTCACTTGGTTGACCAGACAGTCTGTTTATTGCCAGAATAGTATTACCGACAAAGACAAGGGAGACTAGAATGGCCATTTCTGGCTTATTAGCTGTCGTCAGCCAGCCATATCCAAGCCCGAAGTGTGGAACACCCGAGCCTCGAACTCGCGACCTGTTGGTTTAGAAGTCCACGCCTCTACCCACCGGGCCACGAGCCCGTTGCCCTGTCGGTTCTCGATCGGGAATATAGAATGGTAGAGGGCGCTCGCCGATCGTTCATACGGAACTTACTTGTTCCGTTGTGCCTTAAGGGCTCTCTCTCGAGCCCAACCAGCGGCCGCACAGCGGCGCATGATATATAGGCAGAATGATATTACCGACAAAGACAAGGGAGACTGGAATGGCCATTTCTGGCTTATTAGCCGTCGTCAGCCAGCCATACCCAAGCCCGAAGTGTGGAACACCCGAGCCTCGAACTAGCGACTTGTTGGTTCAGAAGTCCACGCCTCTACCCACCGTTTTTTAATGTTTTCTTGTAGGTTCTTCTCGTCTCCAGTACTTAGAGTGTTTTCGAGGCTTTAGTGTCATCATCCAAGGTTGCTGGTGCGACCGTTAATGCAAACGAGGAATAGGAAGAAGCCTAACGAAGAACGCTGCAGGACATAACTGTCCGCTAACATCAATTCAAATGTTGTTGATACGAAATAGTTCCTTGCAACCTGTATGAGAGGAAACATATGTGTTGACCATGGTGCTTGAATTTCACACTTGAATTTCACACAAGTCCACAAGTATTTTAAGGTGATGCCGACGTATAAACAAACAAGTGCCTTCTTACAGTCAATGAAATTATCATTCGGTGAATAGGTCTGACATGTAGCAGTTTCCTGCAGGTGACGAATATTCGATAGACACTATCAACCTCGACGAGAACCGTACTATGGAGCATTTACCGAGTTCTCCTTCAGCGATGAAGGTGTAACTGATTGGAATACTCAAGGAAAAACGCATTCGAATTACTGAATATATCAATCATTAACACGGACAGCAAGCCTATGAATACAGCAGTCATGCATTTTAAACAAAGTATCTAAATCAATATAATGGAAAAAGGACTATGCAACTAGAAATTCTATGGTCAAGATAAGCATTTAGTAAGGTTATGAAAAGGCAGACAGTTATCAGAATTATAAAATGTGCTGGATCATAAGTGAACCACCCTAAACGTGAATTGCAGCACATCTGGTAAATTAACAGTGGTGAAAACAACACCGTCCGCGGCTATATCGTAGGTTGAGAGCGTACCGGGCTAAAAATCAAAAAGGGATTGCTGAGTAGGTGTTTGATAAGTGCATGCGTTTTCGAGGGCAAGGGTAAGCTCAGTGGACATCTACAATGACATGTGTTAAGACAGATCCCCTCCAGGATCAGAGGGGAAAATAGGATAAGAGAAGGGTTACCAATTTAGGAAAACAACTCTTAAGCGGCGCGGTTTGGGATAGTACAAAGAAACACAGACTAAGCGTCCTCTAGCAAGACAGTTCTCATACCAGACAGAGCCTCGGTTAAGGCGTAAAAAAAGAAACGGTGGAGGTTGTAAAATATCTACGCTCGTAAAGATGTAGGCAAAAAACATTCCCAAAAAGCACGAAAAAACTATTGGGAAGTTAACCAAACGCAACTGAGGCAGCGGATAAAGGATTGATCGGGCAGATGTCGGTCAGTGGAAACGTTTTACTAGACCGAAAATTGCGCGGTTAAGACAGAATTGATCCGGAAAGTCGTTACATGAACAGTGTAAAATTTCTAGGCCACTGCTTACGGTCTGTCAGTACATTCTCCCAATCAGTTCTCACAAAAAGGCAACTCGGTCGCCTTGCAATTTATAAGTCTATCTGGGAGTCGCTATGAATGAATCGACCAGCTGCCAATTTATACCCTCCATTGAGGGGGACCGAATTGCTTCTGAATTCCCCTTTAATATCCTTTGCAAACTCTTGGAAAAGATATCATGTGCTAAAGTAATGAAGAAGAAAAAGGAGGCTTTGTCGGCATTTATACGTAGCTGGGCCTTGAGGTATGAGAGCCGGCCAGAGAAGAAAAACGCTGTTGCCGCTGGTCTAGGGAGCTTTTATCCTGTTCTTCGCCTTCTCCTTCCGAGTTCTGACTACAGCCGGCCAGCTTATGGTATCGGACAACCTACAATGGCGAAAATATGCGTGAAAGCTTTTGGCCTTGCACCCAAAGGCCTGAGCGCACAAACTCTACTGCACTTTAACAATCCCAAATACTCTGGGAATAAAGACGGCCGAGATTTAGCAGATTCCGCCCTCTCAGTTTTGGCTGATCACTGTGAAGTCGAAAGCGACCTGACAATCTCTGTGAGTCGAGTAAAAATTTTAACCAAAGTTAGATTTGTTTAACGAGGACATCAGTGCACACCATACAAAATATCCGACTTATTTTCCCACTGATATTATCAGTAAATATGGTAAACTCCATTCCATTTGCACTAGACAACTTGCCTGCAGGAAATTTCCCATCGCTTGTTTTGTTGAACCTATGTTGGAAATGCTAAGCCAGTGAATTGGGGAGCGCAACGATTTGCCTATTATGGACTGGATACTTTTACTTGGCGGCCCCTAGTTATAAATTTAGGGAAATGTCGAACATGTACTTTGCGTTGCCATTCTGTAAAGCAGTTTGCCGCGATACCTTGTGTAGATAACGAACCCTAGAAAGCTTTTTCTTGTTACAGTCAGCATTTAGAACCAGATTAATACTTCTATCTCATATCCCACCTGATCTTTACTCGAACGTTTCCGAACCAGAAGGCTACCTGTTTTAGGCATAGATTTTCACCATTTAGTCAAGGTACCTCAACACCAACTCCCAGTCTTGCATAAACCTACAAATTTCAGATATTTCATATAGGACATCATAATAACATTGCCGGCAAAGCCAAGGGAGACTTTGTCTTTGCCGGCAATATTACTCTGCTTATATTGCTCGCCGCTATGCGGCTGCTGGTTGGACTCGAGAGAGAGAGACCCAAAGCACAACGGGATGACTGAGTTCCGTAACACGACCAGTGGGTGTCCCTCTACCATTGGGTAGCATTACATTTTTAAATAATTCAATTCTATAAAGGGCGGATGTTACGTATCCCTCAAGCGTCACCTTGTCTCTTCTTTCGTCTCTTCCAGGAGCTCCACGAGCAACTGGATAACATTGCCTATGCATCTAATCAGGAGGAGAAACAGGCAATTTTAACTCCATTTATTCGTTCAATCAGCGCGCTCGAACTGAAATGGTTTGTCAGGATAGTCAGCCTGCGTGAATTGCATTTGGGCCTGAGTACCAAGACTGTTCTAACTTGTTTTCATCCGGCCGCCCCTTCTATTTGGAATGTCACACAGGTTGGTTCCTTCCTCCCATCGGTCGTCTGTCGTCTTCACATGCTTCTTTATCTGCCCACTGTGGCTTTGGCAATTTTTGTTATTTTGCACTAAGTCCTATAGTTATTTAAACCTGCGCAAATAAACTTACATCTTTTGCACATAGGATCTTTGCACACTCTGTCAACGCATCGCAGACATCGACCCGACTCAACCCGTGGATACCAAGTCCTCTCTATCGACCGCTGGTCAAAGTGTAAACCTCAATGTTGCCTACCGCCCAATGCTATGTTCACGGGCCAACAGTACTCTCGAAATATGCATTGCATACGAGAAACTCTTCAGTGGTATCGCTGATTACTGCCTCTGCCTGGAAGCGAAGTACGACGGTGAGCGAGTTCAAGTATGTCTTCAGTGCTAGAAATTTTAGTTATAACAAGATATGGACTTATTTCTTTTTTTCCTCCTCTTCCTTCACCCCCCCCGTTTTCCCTGCCCGTTCTCCCCCTGCTCCTGCTTCGAATTATCCTTTCTCCCTTTCCTATCATCCTTTTGTTTTCCGACTCTCTGCATTGACCACCTTTTTTCTGTTTGACGGCCTTAAGATTCGATTCATAGTAATTTTTCCACATGGTCTAATCACATCCGCAATTTCCAATTTTTGCCTTCAAGTTGCACAAATCAGGCGACAAGTATCGCTATTGGTCTCGCAGTGGCAGAGAGTGGAGCTCTAGCTACGGGACTGAAGGCAACGGCACAACAGGCACCCTTACTCCACGACTGCATGCTGGGGGCTTCTCTAACGAAGTATCGGAATGTGTTCTTGATGGTGAGATGTTCGGTTTCGACACCTACACAGACACTTTTGTTACCAAAGCCACTGGATTCGACGTCAAGCGACCAGATGCCACCGATGGATCAAATCTTTTTGCCAGTAAGGTTGAACTTGCTCATACATCCCGAAAAGCCGCAATCGTCCCCTGCTATGTCGTCTTCGATATACTCTATCTCAATGGTGAGGTAGGTACATTCTCAAACCGTCTACGATTTCAGCACATTACTTTACGCATATATACTGATTCAGTTGGGTTTTGCTTTTGCTGTAGCTTTTGACGCATTTACCTTTGAGACAACGCAAGGAAATTCTCCTCTCAATTTTCCCCACAACAGCAGTGAGTTCTGATATCTCGGCCAAGGTCGCCAGCTGTTATGAGAAACCGGAAGCAGGGCGCGAGATCCCACGTGACCAACTGTTTTCTCTCTTCCCCATCGTAAAGGGTGCTCTTTACCTAGGAGGATTCACGTTTATTACTCCCGATAAAGTAAGTAAATTTTAACGTAAGTTATAGGGCGCAGTTAATTTTACTTGAAGCAATTTCAGTCCCTCAGCTGTAGATTGAATAATTCCCCCACGTTTACTGTCACTTTGGGCTGAACACTTGTGCCATAAGGGGCTAATATTCTTCGGGATTCTCTAGTTAGTTCACCCACTACATATTTAACTATCAGACCTAAGTATTTGACTAAGAAATTCGATTTATTAGCTGTCATCGACCTCGCCGGGCACCTTCCAACAGCCTCCGTAACCAAAAAGTTGGCCTCTGAACCAGAATAGTGCGGCATTTGTCATCGCATGCGATTTCCAAATTTTTATCTTAACTGTTGATGAAATTGAGACAAGTCAGCTGTCATATACATCTTTTAACCCTAGGACCGGATTTCACGACTTTTTGACGCCTGGGTAAGCAACGGATCTGAGGGATTGGTTGCTAAGGCAACTACAGCACCATACGTGCCTGCTGGTCGCCTTCACTGTGGCTGGTGGAAATTAAAACCGGACTATGTTCTTGGTCTAACTACGGATCTAGATTGCCTCATTGTGGGAGCCTACTTCGGCGTCGGCGGTGGCGGTCTTTCTAATAACAGTTACTTTCTGCAGTTTCTCTGCGCCGTTCGCGACTTCAAAACCGTCGTCAGTGGGAAGTCAGTCGATGCTGACTTCCCCTCCTTTCTAACCTTTTGCCGGGTACGTATTTTCTCTTCCATATTACATTGAACCGTTTTCTGGGCCCTGCTCAGTTATTCCAAACTAATCTCAGTTCAATTGTCTGCCGACTAAGGCTACAGAGCTGAGCATTTCATTAGAAAATCGTTCTTATCGTTCGCCTTGTTAGTTGGTGACCGAGACAAACGGATAATATGTATGGATGGGTGATTCCGCCCATGGAGTCATCTTGTAGGCCCCATGAACTCCAATGTTTTCCAACCTAAGTTTAGTCCAGAAATGCGCAATCCCAATTTTATAATATGCCTGCTTCGGGTAGGCTGTCTTCCACGCGCCCATATCCCTTTTGCGACCAAGTACAGCTTGTCTGACTGGGAAGTGGGAAGTCTTCTACATGTTGACTTGGGACATCCTCTTGAATTTTTCTCAATTACAGCTACGGACGCTAACTACGATGATTTCACTTGGATTCTGTCGCATCTGCACCCCTGTTTACTCTTCCAAACCTTGCTGATATCCAAACCGTACTATCTGCACTTTCATATGATTGTCCTACCAGACTCCACCCTGGCAGATAGACAGCCGCCTGGACTCTAGTTTCCCTTACAATGACTGGGTTTGTGACCGCGAATGCGGTGTTGATTCCAACTCCATTTACTGTACCCCTCCTCGAAGAAGAGCTCAGTGAAAGGGTGGGTGGAGAACTCTTTGGCTCTTTATTAGGCTAGGCTGAACGAGCTCAACCCGCCAACTTTAAAAAAGTCGCGAAAATTCCCTCATGTAACGAAAGACTTCAGTGGAGCCAGGCAGCTGCACTTTTTGCGGACGACGCCTTGATTTGCCACGGCCCATAGACACTGGGGCGTCGTTTCAATGGAGAGCAGTGCCCACGAGGATGATGACTATGATACCGTCGACGAGGAGGAGAAAGGAGCGCGATTCTGATAATAGCGCGCTACATAAGACCAGCTTTACGCGGTAACCGTCTCGTTGCTGCTCATTGGAACTCTCCTATTCTTTGCGTTTCTGTTGAACTGGGGTTTAGGTGTCTTGTAATAATTGTGGCGTCAAATTTCATTTTTACGCTTCCAAGGTTAGTAATGGCTTTACGCGGGAGCAGCTGACCCTACTGAACAAGCATCTGCGCCCCCACTGGAAGACCTATGACCGCCGTAAGATAAACTGTGGAGAGACGGAGTGGTTAAAAGTGACCGCCGAGCGCCCGGACGTTTGGATTCCCCCACGGTATTCAGTAATTCTTCAGGTCAGTGCGAACAAGATCCATTTTGATTTCATCTTAGACATACCCTTAACTTGGCACAGCACTCAACCTTGTGAAGTATTGGAAAAGTCTTTGTCATTCATGTGTAATGGTAACCTAGTTCTTGGCCATCCCTAGGCATTCACAACTGACTGATATTTCACAATGGATGTGACATCGAGCGTGGATATGCGCGCAATCGGTTATACCGGGCGAATTGACTATGGACCTAGTTCTGCATCCGAAAATACACGCAACATGACTCAAATATACGAGAAAGTACTAGTCCATCTGTCCTAATCAATGGCCATTATCGTTACCAACGTAATTCTATGGTTTAGGAAGGCTTCCAATAAATCATTTAAAAGGAATACGGAGGTTTTCTGAATAGAGCTTTATTAGGTTTTTGCGCTGCAGGTGGCGGATCCCATCCCTATGTTAAAAAGTGATGATGACGTTGAACTTTACAAGGACAACAAAAAGGCTGAGCATCTGTACAGGTTCTTTCAGTCGGTTTTTACGAGGGAAGTCGCTGTACCTGCGGGTAATATGTGGTTTGGTAGCCCCACCTGATGGACACAATACTCTTGGGGTTGGGGTTAAGGGTTAAGGCTAGGGGTTAGGGTTGGACGTTATGGTTTGGGGTTATGGTAAAGGGTTAGGGTTAAGTTTAGGGGTTCGCGCAACTATTTCTTAACCATTCAAACTACAAAAATGCATTCCCAATAGCTCTTCTTTTACATACAGCTGCTTGATCTCGTCGCATGTGCGTTCTCCGGCCTCACCTCTAAAAACCCTTATTACCACCGGTCCCGTATTAGAGGTGATTGGGGTTTGCTTACTTCAGGTGGGGCTACATAACCACATCCGACCAAAACGCGAACCGGCATAAAGGAAGTTATTCAGCAGGAAGAAGGCAGGCCCAAACAGCTGCGCCTTAATAGTTACAGCTGTCAGACTTCCGTGGTGTTCTTCGATTTCGTGGGTTTGATGCGCCCAATCTGACGGTCGATCCCCAACCGCTTCCGTTATAGCGTAGGGCCTAAGACAACCCGGCCGCCGGTGGACTGTTTCGAACATTACGAACTAAGGCAATAATTGAGATCCGATTCATGGGTGCAGCGGACTGTTTAACGCATGTCATCACTTATACGCGGAGAACGTGATTTGCTTCCTTAAAGGCAATCGCAGGAGACGACTTTATCTGTTCCGAAAGTTGTAAATCTGTCCGAAACAATTGCTGGTCCTCATCTTCAGCGCTTTAGGCCCTTCCTGTTAAGTTGTTTTTATGCCTCATGCACCACCCACCCGAAACCTTAATAATTTAATAACCGAGTTTCGTCATTTCGCGACCCTTTGCCGTCCTCTCAAGAAAGCCACGGTGGGACGTGCATTGCGAATTGCATAGGCGAGCCGGGACCGCTAGCCCACATCTGTTTGGGAAAAATGTGACCCCACCATTTCGATGTTCTTATCTAAAACTACTTGGAACAGCCCTTAATTAAGTCTCATCTTCTATAGATTCATGCCGCCGAATTGACTTCTAGCGCTTCCTATGCCGCCGGATACACTCTCCGCTTCCCACGCGTCGCCGCCATTCGTGAGGACAAGGATTGGGAGGGTTGCGCTACTGTTGAGGAGATCGAAAGTCTCAGCGACCGAACTGCCGTAAGTTTGTACCTTTTCGTCCAGACTTATGTTTCTTGGCCACGTATCTGTATACCATTCCTTGAGTAAGGGGCGCTTGGACATCAGACTATTTCAATGTGTATATTCGACTTAGGTTGAGGTAAACTATCGACCCTAGGTCCTTTTGCGCACCCTGGGAGCCTGACTACTGTTGTTCCCGAACTCCATAGGGAGTGTATATTCTAAAGTGGAACTCCTTCCCTGAAGAGTCATTCAAATTCAGCCGCCAACCGTTGGTGACCTTGTACCCCTGGGTGAACCAAGAGTGGGAGCTCAAAACTTGGTCGTCAAATAATCCCTTCTCAACTTTTTTTGTCCTGGTCAGTCGAATAACGCATTCGGTCGTTAACCATTTGGCCTGTGAAATTTGAAGATTCGCTCACTGCCTGCCCCATCGCCTTTTGTGAATCTTCTGACAAAGTGATTCACTCCTCTGACTAGGTGACGCTGAAGGAGATCAGAGTAGTGGCTGGTTGGCCAGTTTATGCATGACCTAACCTAGTAGGCGGCCCATAAAATTCGCTTCTCGACATCTCTTTGAAACCCTGATTAGAGGGCAATTATGCTTAACGATAGCTAGTTCTGTCACATCTGATATTTTGCCGAGACCCCTCATACACTCTCGCTCCTTGATAGCCACCCGAGGATGTTACTTTAACTTTGTTGTAGCCCACCTTTCCCTCTCATTTTCCGTTTAAATAGGGGAAACTGACAGAGAAGCGACTTTTTCAAACCGACCAGATCGATAACTCTGCTTCAGAATCAGAGACCGATGGTACACCTAACACGAACTCCCTGCTAGATCCTCTTGGGGGGGAGGATTTCGCCGCTTTGGACGCCTTTGCTTCTGCCTCGACAGGTGGCGCCCTTGCTGGAAGAAAGAGAAAGAGAAAGGAGGGGACAAAAGGCAGTTGCAGTGCTGTATCGACTCTCCGTGTCACTGCTCAATACAGATCTGCTCTGCAAGATCCCAATCAGGTGTGTCTCCCTATCACTGTCATCGTTTACCGCGCTTGTTTACCTCGTTTTATGAAGTCGGTCCGCCGCTATTTAATTAATGCCACCTGATGAATGCAATGTATCTTGTCGGCTTTATGGTCCTCTGCATATTGTTTGCCCACAGGGAATGTTTACATATTACGCCTGAACGTTTGTTCCTTTCGGTCTCTTTTCTGTCCTGCCTTTTGTTGCGCGACCGCTGAAGTTTCAGTGCATGCAGCTCTTCCTTAATTCTTTTCAGATCGTGGCCGAGAGCGCATCATTTAAGGACAGGGAATTTTGCCTCATGTTGTCGTCCGATTTCAACGCTACGCAGGGTGCCTACACTAAGGCCGACCTTGAACGTGCCATCTTAAAGGCGAGCGGCCGAATAGTACAAAACCCTGGAGCGAAAACCACCTACGTTATCGCCAACCGTCCTACTGCGAAGGTACAGTCGATTCTTCCCCCATAGCATGTCAGTGCCTTTCGATCATTTCCTGTTTCGTATCTTGCCATTACCTCTGTAGGTATTAAATCTCGTAGAATCAACCCTGTCACAGACAGCGAAAGGCGCGGAGGGCGGTTATGACATTCTGACTACCGGTTGGCTTATCAGCAGTATCCAGGAGGGCAAACCTCTACCGCCGCGTCGCGAGCATGTCTGGGCTGTGCGATCCTCCACTAAAGCCGTTATTGACAGAAATTACGACTCCTTTGGGGACAGCTTTACTGACCCCTTTTCAGTTGAAAGTCTTCGATCTTTTGTGTCACGGTCGGAACGTGAACCGGCCTCTTCAAATTCTTCCCGCCAGGTATTATTTGTTTGATATAAAAACAAACTACTTATTACAAATTATCAGAAAGTAAATAAACCATATTGTTTGCAGCAGATCGCGCCGGTTCCACACCTACCAAGGCATGACCTCCTAAAGCTGCTGGATTCCTTCAATCTGTCGCATGATTCACTGATTTCCTCGCCTCTTCTGGCGTGTACCGTCCTTCTCATTGAAGTCCAATCCCCTTCAAAAAGTGCTATACAGGATTTGGGTTGGAAAATGCTGCGAGCTGATTTGTTGCTTCTCGGTGCCGTGGTGTTCGGTCCGTTGTCTGCCCACGACCTGACTCCAGAGAAAATTACTGGCTCCGCTTTTCCCACCTGCCAGATTTCTGCAAAAAAGCAGATGGAGAACATAACCCACGTTGTCTGGGTAAGTTTTCGCTACCTAAAGGCGGGCATTTCTAAGTCCTGAAAACAGCTTTGGCTCTCCACTGACCATGACATAGGTACTTAAAATTTCGGTGCCCGTGGAAGAAATTCAACTCTATGCTGAGGGGCCGTCATTTTATCTGAAGCCCCTATTAGATAGACGTATTGTAAAAGTAGTTGAAGGTATTCCTTCTTGTCTTGCCGATGCCAATTATTTGGCATGTAAAAATATGCCACCAGTCTTCGTCTTTTTGCCCTTATGGGTGTCAATTTCATTTTACTTTTGTTTCCCGTATGTTTACTTTTTAACTCACCAACACCTCTTCCGAAACTCCATACAACATTCCGTTGAGCTCTACAGAACAAAGTGTGAAATGAGTTGTACTCCCCACTAACTGTGCATCATTATTGATTCCAACTATCTCCCGACGGCCGCATTGTTTACACCTGTTTACCACAAAAACGTGAGACGTGAGATTGCTGAGGATTTTCACTCAGAGTATACAACAAGAACGATATCAACCGTCCAAAGTTTAAGATCTGCTATCCACAATACAGACTCTGACTTCGGTTTTGAAGACGGATAAACAAGCCCCGTCGTCAGACCGTACCCTAGCCATCTAGGCAGTGGCGTCGACGTGACTCAGGCGCTGTCGAAGACATGTTCGACACTTGAGTGCTGTAATTGCTCGCAAAATCCTATCTGGTTTCAAGGTCTGTTCTACGCAGAAGAGACTTGGTGCCAATCCTAATTCGACCGCCGTCGCCGACGATGTCCACTGTGTGCAGGCTCGGTGGCCTGCGCGTGACTTAGTTTAGTGAGTGTGGACTTTCCCAGCATCTACCGCACTCTCTCTACCTGTTGTTGTGTGGTGGCGCCAATAGATAGATACAAAATACAAAGCTTTGTCATCATTGCGTTCGTTTCGTCAGCGCGCTCTATGGTCTCCGTTTACCAAGGCTCTTGCCTGCCTGGTCCGGAATTTGATTTAACAACTAAAAACTAAGACATTGAGCGACGTGACCAGCAGTGGCCTGTTGCGTGTACACCGTTGGTCAACAGTGAAGGTTGACCAAGGGAACCTGTCGCGACCATTGCTGATACAGGCTCTGCATGTTTGTGATCCGTTTCGGCACTGTGTTCGTTGTTATGCTTCATGTCTTTCATTCGTTCCCTGCTCTTTTCGCGTTTTGCTAACTTGAGATACTTTGCGATTCGTAATTTCTGCTTTGACCTTGCCAGCTGGGTGTTGGAACCACAGCGGGAGCTGTTGGGAAATTTCAAAAGGATCAAGTTGGTGCGGCTATTGCCAAGACCATGGAGCAGACAATACGGCCCCTGCAGCATGTCTCCGAGGGGTGGGCTCGAGAATGCGTTAGAGAACGGAGTTGGTGCACAGAGATCGGCTTCGCCCTGTAAATTGCCTAGATATGCGACTAGATGCGTCCCTGTGATATTCATTTTATCTGGTCTTCCTAATAATAGTGAGAAATTCTGCCAATGCCTACCTCTAACCTTGTAACTTCTCAATTATCTTTGCAATGCTGCCCCTTGTATTGTTGACTTACGCATGAGTTTATTTATTTACCTTCCCTATTATTGATCTTTTTCGCCTTTAACGACTCTTAAAAAAACAATGCCCACCGATACCTTTGTCAGCCTTGTTGGTACTTATGAAATTGGAGGAGAAGGGGATGAAAACGTGCACGACTCAGCTGTCGGAGGACACAGACTCGAACGTGTTCATAGTTATTTGATTGGACAAGCTGGCAGTCAAAAACCTACTCCCACGAGAGGTTCTTCTATGCGCTCATGGACTACAAATCATCCTACGAGCTTGGAAGAGAGCGGATGTCAGCGTCATTTATCACCGTCGTTGTAGAGACAAGAGATCGAAACGGGCGCCAAAGGGCTGTTCGAGTGGGAGGCATCACCAAAGGTGCTTTTCTTAGGGGCTAATCGGAGCCCTTGCAGTCTAGAACGCCGCGCTTCACGATCAGTAACTGGAGGCTACCCAAAAAAGACAAGTCCAGGGTGCCCACCTCCGAATTACAGACTGTTAGTCAACTATGGCAGGAATGCTTGACGTTTGAACCCTGGTTTAGTTAAGCACTGAGCATAGATTCGTGCCGCTTGGCCCGCGGGCTCGTCCTGCCAAAAGCGGTCGAGAATATTCGTGGGCGCACGCGAGTGACGTCTATCTATCCAACTATCGCAGGACTGGATATGGACGTCCCGTCCCGCCCGAGTTTCTCGATCTCGCAGGGTATCCGTACTACCAGAAGTATGCCACCGCATTACTGTTTGATATTCTGAGGACTTGTTTAAGGGGTCTTTAGGTTCGTTTTAGCAGCTGCGTACTTTGCCACGAACTTTCTTAGACTGAATCGTCAGGACAACGGCCCACTGTTGGACTCGCAGTTCGACTGACCGCAATTCCGCGGCATGACGTGATAACTTCTACCGGTTGTGGCGGCAGAAACTGATTCAGACGCTCTGACCTTCCATTAAAAAAGGATTTACGGAGCCGTCCTACGAATAGGAGGGTGCGAAAGAGAGACCGGTCAATGCGTTATGAACACAAAAGTTTATCGTCAAACAGCGTTTTTTGGTAACAGTCGAGCACACTGTGTGCAGCTCAGGTGATTCTCGTAAGCGGCAAGAGCGTCAGGTAAGAGTAGACAAAATGCTAGTAGCAACCAGACAAGTAAACAGTGGGGGAGAGGGAACTGGCTAATCTCTGTACAAAGGGAAGAGGACGATGTCCATGTCACGGGGCACGCGATTGCGGAGGATGGGATCGGGTGGAGTCATTGGTAGCATGGGTGGAAGTGGAGGGTAGATTCCGCGACCGACTGGGTCGCGCAGTAGAGGTGGATTCACGACATGCGGGAGGGGGCAGGAGACGCGGAAAGACGTCCACGCGGGAGAGACGACGGCCCAGGGATAGGGGTGGGGCACCGTGCTGGCCACCGTCAGCCCCACAACCATTCTCATCATCCACGGCCAGGCGCAGCGATGCGCGGACCAGGGCTGCGACTAAGGCATCGAGATGGTCCAGAGCCCCGCGTTGCAGCCACTTGGGGATGGTGGTACGCGCTCGCCGGAATCCGATGTTTTCCAGCAGCATGTCGAAAGCGGGCACGGCGATGTTGGTAGCCAGCAGCCAACGACACTCAGGGCTGAGAGACCAGTGGATCACGTTGTAGGTACGCATATCCTGCACAATAGGTGAACTAGTGTTGGCTGAGACGCCACTTAGGCGGCCGTCCTTTGCCAGTTGGAGGGTTAGAGGGGTCACAGCGTAGCTAGGATCTGGCGTTGTCATGTCTGAAAATAAAATAAAGTCACACCGTCTAAGAGACGGAATAGTCACCAGACGAGGAGAATCACGGACTTGCAAATTGCAAATTAAATTCTGAGAAACCGGTTCAGAAATACACCAAAGGACAGAGGCCTTAGAAGGACTTCAATACATGACACAAACTGCCAACAACACTACTTCTGCAGAGGACTTGCTTCTAGAAGTGAGAAGTCCCGGAGGATTATTTAACGAGATCCTAACAGGCCATAGGACCGAGAAATACAAACAGACTTTGTCGAGAAGATCCAAACCATGAACTGCCATATTCCCTCACAGTGCCCGCCATTCCGGTCTGGCAATCAGTAGAGCGCAAATCCTGAAGTTCAACTGGCAACAATGCCACTTGTTTTCATGAATAAAAGAGACCACTACTTCAAACTCGTCATACTAAGCGGGAGGTAGGTAAGAGGCGCATGCAATGAGGCCACACAACAAAACGAGTGAATGTAACAAGCGAGACTTGCTTTCAAACTCGTGCTGCTGTTCACTGATGTAGGAGGCAATCAAAATAGGCAGCCAGGGCACATCAATAAGGCCCAGCTGAATGACGCCATGGAAGTCGGTTTGGAAGCTTATATTGACTTTGGCAGAGAAGGGTTTGACAGCGGTGGTCTCATTGGACTCGCCGCCTCTCACAACATCGCCGCTGGCGTGATGCTGGTCTGGCGGGTGCGGAGCTTGCGTGGTCACACGCGACTGCCCCTCCTCTGCCGTCGTAGCTGGTTGAGGCGGGGGCGAGGCCTGTCTGCCGGCAGTGCCCCCCTTTTTCGCCTCATTGCTCGACCCCACCGCGTGGTCGTCTCTGTTGCTCTCACGCATCAGTGCGAGCAATTCCTCGGGCCGTGGACGTGCCATGCTTTGACGCTGGTCTGTCGTCAGGCGCATCGAAATGGAGGGCAGGACAAAGAGAATCTCGGCGTCTGCAGGTGGCTTCAATGGGTTGGCACGACTGGGAGGGGCGGGGACCGCATCTGCGTGTTCTGGTTTCTTTCCCTCACCCGCAACGGCCGAACTACTCGCTCCATCGACTGACGCATTGGGACCACCGAGATGGTTGGGGCGCTGTAGTGGTCTTGAGCCAGTCGGATCTCGGGAACGCAGCTTTGACTGTCGGCGACGCGGTAGAGGGTCGCGAGAGGGGAAGTTGACTGCGAAGTCGGTCACTTTAAATGCAGATTAAGAGAGGGGATGAGACAGAAACTAAGCAATAAAAACGGAGGCAAGAACAGGTAACTGTGCGTTCGTCAGTCACTGAGTGCTCTAGCATGCACGCCGATGGTTTCGGTCGCATAAGTGCTAAAGTTGGCCTTGGAAGCTGCAGAGGAAAGTATATGATGCTGGAGCAGAACCGTTAGTCAGAATGCTCATTGAAGATCTAGAAATCCCCTGATGACTAGCCTTTACTCCGAGAGCATTAGCTCCATGTGCCAACGGGGCGACACTCCGGAGTAACCGTAATGTGACTTACTCCACCGAGAGCAGGCAAATATGTGCACGACACTGACCGATGAAAGGCATTCATCCCTGACGGGAAATGCAGTAACGTTATACTGGCAAGTTGCACTCTCAGGAGGTAGACCACACATACTTGAAGAGACCGAGAAATAAGAAATGGTGAATAAGGACAAGGAGGCAGCCAGGGAGTGACATAGGACAAACCGCAACAAATAAAGGATCAAGTAAACGAGAAGGGTCACCGATTAAAACAAAAGCGGGGCTGGAACGGCCATTTCTGGCGCATTTGCTGTCATCAGACAGCCATATCTCGGGCCGAAGAGGCTAGGGGTAGAATTCAAGTCAAGGCTTGGGGTCATGCCCTGTTGGTCGAAATCGGCAGCGTTCAGCAATCTACCCCCAATTGCTGGACGAAGTTGGAGCGTGCTACTTTTGCCCAGGAGCCCAAAGCATGGGCGCCTGAGGATACCAACTAAGTCAGAAACGGTAGTGGAGGCGGTGAAAACGGACCTGACTGAATCTGTTGAGCCTCGACAGTGATTCTAACAACAAATTATCTCTTGTATCTACCAAAAGTTTGCGTTAGTTGATAATGAGTCGGTTTTAAAGACGAGCTATGTCTCGTATTAACCACGCCGAGGAGTCAGTTAGACTTTCCGGGCTATATGACTAGTCCAGGCAAAGAGACTTAAACCAGCCTGTAGAAGGCTTTAGAGAACAAAAACGTTCATCATAGAGACACCAGTAACTACTAAAGAGAAAAATATGAAGTCCAGAAGACAAAAGTAAAACTCACGTTTAACAACATCCAAAAGGCTTCCAGGGCTGTATCCCTTCATGTGGCTGATAACTGAAAGCAAGAAAGAGTGAATAGAGTAGAATTAATTGAAAAATCGTGTCATTCAAAGCAAGCCGGGAGATCGCACACCGTCGGTCGATCAACTGCCACCAACATTGCCTTAACATATTCAGATAAATGTTTATATAGAGGGATTCTTGGTGACGCAAAAGCGAAGCGGGTCACTCACGCGCTGGTATCATTTCCCATGCATCCCAAAAGACCCATAGTCTCCAAAAGCAAGCAGGCACATGGCTTCCACATCTTCCAGGACAATTTTATTTTCTCTGTAACTTCAAAGTTTTGTGCGGACAGACATCGCGTGGTTTTGACTCCGACTGAGACTCTAATAACACTCGGATTGCTAAAAGCAAGCGAGTCAGCGCCATTCCTTCAGCCCGAGCATAGTCTAAACAGCACTCCGATTAGAAAGAGGCATCAGCGGCAAAGTCGATGTCCGCTGAATCTAAAATTTTATTCGATGTCCTTACTATTGGTCACTACTGCCTATGAGATAACGGGCGCTCTCACCAGGCGGAGTAAAAAAGAGCATACCGGTATTGTCGACCGCTTTGAAGATGAACTCCATCCACTCAGAGATGGTTGGAGTAATTGACAGTTTGACAGGGTTCTGTTCACGCCCACGACGCACACGCAGAACGTAGGCCGTCTGTGGGCGATACTGAGGCTGCTGGCCCAGATCGAAACTGAGCACTTGGCGGATGTTGATCCAGCCGCCCACCTCGTCAGCTGAAGCCGGGG